GAATGTAAATGGGCTGAATGCTCCAATCAAAAGACAGAGGGCAGCAGAATGGAAACAAAAAAAAAAATCCATCTATATGCTGTCTACAAGAAATTCATTTTAGACTGGAAGATACTTTCAGATTAAAAGTAAGGGGATGGAGAAATATATATCATGCTACAGGAAATCAAAAGAAAGCCGGAGTAGCTATACTTATATCAGACAAACTGGACTTTAAATTAAAGACAATAAGAAGAGATGAAGAAGGGCACTACATAATAATTACAGGGTCCATCCATCAGGAAGAACTAACAATCATAAATATCTACGCACCAAATATGGAAGCACCTAAATATCTAAAACAATTAATCACAAACAGAAACAAACTTATAGATAAGAATGTGCTAATAGCAGGGGACTTTAATACTCCGCTTACAGCAATGGATAGGTCAACCAGACAGAAAATCACTAAAGAAATAATGGACTTGAAAGACACATGAGACCAGATGGATCTTACGGATATATTTAGAACTTTACATCCTGAGGCAGGGAATTTACTTTCTTCTCAAGTACGCATGGCACATTCTCCAAGATAGATCACATACTGGGACATAAAGCAGCCCTCAATAAATATGAAAGAATTGAGATCATACCATGAACACTTTCAGATCATAATGCTTTGAAACTTGAATTTAATCATAAGAAGAAGTCTGGAAAACCTCCAAAAACATGAGGTTAAAGAACACACTATTAAAGAATGAATGGGCCAGTCAGGCAATTAGAGATGAAATTTAAAAATATATGGAAACAAATGAAAATGAAAACACAACAATCCAAAATCTATGGGATGCGGCAAAGGCAGTCCTAAGAGGAAAGTACATTGCTCTCCAGGCCTATTTCAAGAGATTAGAAAAAGCGCAAGTCCAAAACCTAACAGCCCACCTAAAAGAACTAGAGGCAGAGCAACAAGAACGCCCTAATCCCAGTAGAAGAAGAGAAATATTAAAATTAGATCATAAATAAACAGCACAGAGACCATAGAAACATTTGAACAGATCAATGAAACCAAGTGTCGGATTTTTGAAAAAATGAACAAAATTGACAAACCTCTAGCCAGACTTTTCAAAAAGAAAAGAGAGAGCACCCAAATAGACAAAATTATGAATGAAAATGGACTTATTACAACCAACCCCTCAGAAATACAAGCAATTATCAGGGAATACTATGAAAAACTATATGCCAACAAATTGGACAACATAGAAGATATGGACAAATTCCTAAACACACACTCACTACCAAAATTCACTGGAATAAATAGAAAATCTGAACAGACCCATAACGAGTGAAGAAATCGAATCAGTGATCAAAAATCTCCCAACAAATAAGAGCCCTGGACCTGATGGCTTCCCTGGGGAATTCTACCAGACATTTAAAACAGAATTAATCCCAATTCTTCTCAAGCTATTCCAAAAAATAGAAGTCGAAGGAAAACTCCCGGACTCATTTTATGAAGCCAGCATCACTCTGATTCCCAAGCCAGACAGAGATCCAGCAAAAAAAGAGAACTATAGGCCAATATCCTTGATGAATACGGATGCAAAAATTCTCAACAAGATCCTTGCAAATCGAATCCAGCAGCATATCAAAAGAATCATCCACCAAGATCAAGTGGGATTCATTCCTGGGTTACAGGGCTGGTTCAACATTCGCAAATCAATCAATGTGATCCATCATATCAATAAAAGAAAAGATAAAAACCATATGATCCTGTCAATAGATGCAGAAAAAGCATTTGACAAAATACAGCATCCCTTCTTAATAAAGACTCTCGAGAAAGTTGGGATAGAAGGAACCTACTTAAACATCATCAAAGCCATCTATGAGAAGCCTTCAGCTAACATCATCCTCAACGGGGAAAAACTGAGAGCTTTCCCCCTGAGATCAGGAACACGACAGGGATGTCCACTCTCACCACTGTTGTTTAACATAGTGCTGGAAGTCCTAGCATCAGCCATCAGACAACAAAAGGAAATCAAAGGCATCAGAATTGGCAAAGAGGAAGTCAAACTTTCACTCTTCGCAGATGACATGATACTCTACATAGAAAACCCGACAGACTCCACCAGAAGCCTACTAGAACTGATCCAAGAATTCAGCCAAGTTGCAGGGTACAAAATCAACGTACAGAAATCGGTTGCATTTTTATACACCAATAATGAAGCAACAGAAAGAGAAATCAAGAAACTGATCCCATTCACAATTGCACAAAAAACCATAAAATACCTCGGAATAAACCTAACCAAGGATACAAGAGATCTGTATGATGAAAACTATAGAAAACTTATGAAGGAAATTGAAGAAGACACAAAGAAATGGAAAAACATTCCATGCTCATGGATAGGAAGAATAAATATAGTTAAGATGTCATTACTACCTAAAGCACTCTACACATTCAATGCAATTCCAATCAAAATTGCACCAGCATACTTCTCAAAACTAGAACAAACTATCCAAAAATTTGTATGGAACCACAAAAGACCCCGAATAGCCAAAGTAATACTGAAAAATAAAACCAAAACGGGAGGTATCACCATCCCAGACTTCAGCCTCTACTACAAAGCTGTCATCCTCAAGACAGTATGGTATTGGCACAAAAACAGACACATAGACCAATGGAACAGAATTGAGAACTCAGAAGTGGACCCAAAAGTATACAGCCAACTGATCTTTGACAAAGCAGGAAAGAATATCCAATGGAAAAAAGACAGCCTTTTTAACAGATGGTGTTGGGAGAACTGGACAGCAACATGCAGAAGAATGAAACTAGATCATTTTCTCACACCATGCACAAAAATCAACTCAAAATGGATAAAGGACCTGAACGTGAGACAGGAAACTATCAACACCCTAGAGGAGAAAGCAGGAAACAACCTCCTTGACCTCCACCGCAGCAACTTCTTACTTGACACATCCCCAAAAGCAAGGGAATCAAGAGCAAAAATAAACTGTTGGGACCTCATCAAGATTAAAAGCTTCTGCACAGCCAAGGAAACAACCCAGAAAATTAATAGGCAACCAACGGAATGGGAAAAGATAGTTGCAAATGACATATCAGATAAAGGGTTAATATCCAGAATCTATAAGGAACTCACCAAACTACACGCCCGAAAAACAAACAACCCAGTGAAGAAATGGGCAGAAGACATGAACAGACACTTCTCCAAAGAGGACATCCAGATGGCCAACAGACACATGAAACGATGCTCAGCATCCCTCCTCATCAGGGAAATACAAATCAAAACCACACTGAGATACCACCTCACGCCAGTCAGAGTGGCTAAAATGAGCAAATCAGAGAACTCTAGATGCTGGCGAGGATGTGGAGAAACGGGCACCCTCCTACACTGTTGGTGGGAATGTAAACTGGTACAGCCCCTCTGGAAAACAGTGTGGAGGTTCCTCAGGAAACTAACAATAGAACTCCCTTATGACCCAGCAATAGCACTGCTAGGAATTTACCCAAGGGATACAGAAATGCTGAGGCATAGGAGCACATGTACCCCAATGTTCATAGCAGCACTCTCCACAATAGCTAAAACATGGAAAGAGCCTAAGTGTCCATCAACAGATGAATGGATCAAGAAGATGTGGTTTATCTATACCATGGAATACTACATGGCAATGAGAAACAATGAAATCTGGCCATGTGTAGCAACATGGATGGACCTTGAGGGTGTTATGCTGAGCGAAATAAGTCAGGCAGAGAAGGACAAATATCATATGTTTGCACGTATAGGAGGATTAGGAGGAACTTGACGGAGGAACAAGGGGGAGAAGAAGGGCGGAAATGGTGGGGGAAAGGGAGAGAGGCAAACCAGGAGAGACTCTTGAATTCTGAGACCAAACTGAGGACTGATGGATGTGGGGGGAAGGGGGGAGATGGGCATGGAGGAGGGCACTTGTGGGGATGAGCACTGGGTGTTATATGGAAACCAACTTGACAATAAACTATTTGTAAGAAAAAAAAAAAAAAAGGAAAGAACGTGAGTCATGCCAGAAATAAAATGTGTAAATATTTTAAAAAGATTGAGAAAGAGGTGTGGATCAAGCAACTTGAGAGGCAGGGATAAACAGACATATGAGACAAGTAGAAAGGAGAAACAGCCCCTGGGATCCTCCCAGAGGATTGACTTGGATTCTAACTTTTACACCAACATTTGCTCTAATCCTCAAAGCATCTATTTAAGAAAAGTAATCACCTATCTTAGAAACAAGAAGACCTACTCGTTTACCAAACCTACATGTGAACAGAGCCCTTTTTGTTTAAAAAAAAAAAATGGTAATGTTTTTCACAAAAGCAGAATGTTTCACAAAAGCTTTCACAAAAGCAGAATGTTTCTTCCACCTCTCCCTTCTTCTCAACTAGTCAATCAAGATGAAAATCTAACTTTATGAGCAGCCTGTGTGACAAAGACACTGTAAGAAGAAATACATAAATGTTGTGACAGTAGCTTTGACATCAAAAGTAAAGGCCCTGAATTTTTAAAAAATTAATATCCTTGGGAAGAACCAGAACAACTCCAGGAGGAAAAGTTATATGTCTCCATAGTTTACAGAGTCATCTGAAGTGTGTCAGACATAGACAAGAACATATAAAAGTTTTAGGATATCCACCCTCTGCCCCAATATCCTGGAATTTGCTACCTGAAAACTGCTACCTGATTTATAGAATAAAAAGTAACATTAGTTGAGTTTCTATAATTTCCAAGCATTTTGCTAAGAATTTTCTTTTTTGTCATAAATGGTCCCCACAATAACTATTACAGGGTAGCAGTTTTTACCAACATTTCACAGATGAGGAAATTGAGGTTCAGTAACAGTTCTGAGCATAGATTTTGTAAATTCTGAAGCTCATCCTCAAACCCTAGTCTGATATAGATATTAGAGAATCGGATACAGACATTCAATGTTGACTATGCATAGAAAGTGCATTTTTCTCCTTTGTTTTTTTTTTCCATTAGGCAAGTGTTGATGCGCCATGTTTGGGGGTTCTGGCAGCAGAACTGTCACTTCTGTGTTGCCATAATGATCTCTCAATCACACAACAAGCATCCTTGGGGTTGCATCACCTTCTCTGCATTGCAAAGCATCAGAATGGTAAGAATGATTTACCATCTCTCTAGGGAATAATTGTCCCTTATTCTACTTGTGGGTCCCAAGAAGGCTCTACATCTGTAGATTTCCAAATCCTGCTCCAACATCTATAGCTCCACTTCCTAAAATGCCTTTTATAATCTTTTTAGAATTATCAAAATAGGCTAATAATGATATAGTTGGTTCTTCAAGGTCTATAAAGTACTCTACTTAGATTAGTGTTGGGTATTAATGGTTGGGACAGGAATGTTGTGAAGAGGGAGAGAGGAAATAGAAGAAATGTTACCAATGGGACTTTTAAAGAGGAGGCATATTTTCGCCCTCTAATGGGGCATCAGATGGATCCTCAGATTCTCACTTCAGTGGTGGGAAAAAATTAGCCACCAGCAGTAAATGCTGCTGTGGCCTGCCTAACAGAGCATAAAAGCAAGTCCTGAAAGTATCATACTATTTCCAAATAACTTAAACAGAGAAAATACCCTCCCTTAATACATGACTAAATATATAAATATAAATAATTATTTTCAAGGCACTGAACATCAGATAGCAAAGGACAATGATTCCTGAGAGATGGGAACAAATGAACAAATGAGGTGGGGTCTACAGTTGTCTGAACTTACCACCTAAAGTAAGTTTTTAGACTGCAACCCAATGGTGTCACCAAGAAAAGACAGAATTAGGCTTCCAGAGAGGTCATGATAGTTAGAGCTCACAGGTCTGAGTGCCACAGAGCAGTGCACAAAAAAAGAACTCCAGAGATCTGCACAGGGTTCCATTTATTCAGATATGCAGTGATCAGAACATTCATGTAAAAGGCACCTGGGTGGCTTAGTCAGTTGAGCACCTAATTCTTGATTTCTGTTCAGGTCATGATCTCATAATGGCTTTGTGCCCCGTGTCGGGCTCCACACTGACAACACAGAACGTGCTTGGGATTCTTTCTCTCCCTCATCTGTCTGCCCCTCTCCCACTCATGCTCACTCTCTCTCTCAAAATAAGTAAATAAACTTAAAAAAAAAAAAAGAAAAACACAAATGTGAGGAAACTGGGGCACCTGGGTGGCTCAGTCGGTTAAGTGTACGACTTCGGCTCAGGTCATGATCTCACGGTTCGTGGGTTCGAGCCCCGCATCGGGCTCTGTGCTGACTGCTAGCTCAGAGCCTGGAGCCTGCTTCAGATTCTGTATCTCCCTCTCTCTATGACCCTCCCCTGCTCATGCTGTATCTCTCTCTCTCTCTCTCTCTCTCTCTCAGAAATAAATAAAACATTAAAAAAAAAAAAAAAGCAAAAACAAATGTGAGGAAAACTACCTGAGGCCAGGGGTGAATGTTTAGAGAGAAAAATCCAATGAATTCACAAAGGCTGGAAATAGTGCCTATGACTCTAAGCCAACATTTAGAACTTCATAATGTACAAGTAAAGATGTATAGTACTCAAAGGGTTTTGTCTCATTAGAAGGAAAAAAACTATTTCTAGACTAAATTGTTTTAGTACCACTTAACAAAGCTTAAAAACAAGATCTAAAATGATCAGGTGATCTCCAAATACTTTAAATGTCAATCAGAATGAAACCCAAGTCTACTTCTAGGAATACCAATATTCCAGCAGTCAACAAGTTAAAATTCAGTGTCTGACACCTAATAAAAATTATTACACATGTAAGGAATCAGATTACAACACATAATGAGGAGAAAAAGGAATCAAAACTGACCCAGAAATAATTCAGATGATAGAATTAGTAGAAAGGGACATTGAAACAATTATTATAATACATTCCAATTATTTAAGTGCCAGAATCCAGCTCCAGCTGGTCCAGGGGTCCCTGAAGGATGGACGGTGTTGGTGAGAGAGAGAGTGAGAGAGCCCCAAGATTCTTTCTGATCACCAGGCAAACACCTCTGTCCTGTCAGTTGTGGTGTCTTTATTTATAGGTCAAACAATAACATGGCATCAGAAAATGGAATTTTTACAATGGATAATTCTATGTGATAAGATGCTTTGGAAAGTTGTACAAAAACAGGTTTTACAGAAGTATTCTTGCAGAACTACCCCAATTATAGTGAGGTTGAGTAACTAAGAAAATAACAGGGTGTTCTTAGTGAAAAACAGAATAACATACACATTTTCACAACACTAAGATTAAGTCATAGGTTAAGTTGTAAATACTCTTATCCATCCTCATCACAGCTGCCAGTGTTAAGGAAGGTGTTTGTGGAATGTAGGCCTTAGAGAAGGGACTGCTATACATCACCAGTTAGCAAAGGTATATGTAGTAACTTACGTTCTGCCCTTATCTGTTCCTTCTCTCTAAGTTAGGCTCTTTGTCTCCAGGCAAAACTTAATTGTCCAATTATATTCCTTATGGCACTGGAGAGCCAACCATACCTTTCAAGAGTTTAGCTCATTTCCAATATATAGAATAGCCTCTTTGAGTGCATTTACCTTTGTGTCTAGTTTTTTTGTCTATAATTTCTTGAATAACTAGGGCATGAGAAAAATTTTTGGTTAGTTGGTTTATATGTTGAGCTGTATGAACCTCTTGGACTAACGCAACAGTAGAAACAGAATTGTATATGTAAAAGTCAATCTTTTATGAGTAAGGGTCATTAGCCTGTTTATAGCTCATGGGAAAGTATGGAGTAAAACAGGACCTGCCAGAGACTCAATGTCTGCTCCCATAATCACAGAAGAAGTTCCTACAATAAGTTCCTTCACAAGGTGCAGTCATCATACCAGGGCCAAAATAAGGGGACAAGTCACTCCCGATACCAATCAACAAGGTGCCTTGGGGGCTAGTGCTCAAGCAGAAATAATTGAGTGAGGTGTGAGTTTTGGTCATCATCTGACAGCAAGAGACTGTGCAAACTTGCATTAACCTCACAAGGAGTTTTCTCAACTAGTGACTTCAGAATGGCTCCCAACATTTAAGGAGCCCAAGAAAAAGATAAGCATGTTAACTAAGGACATAGAAAAATTTCTAAAAGACCTCAACTGAACGTCTGGAGATGAAAAATACAATATCTGAGATGAAGAACACTTTGACAGAAATTAACAGTGTAATTCTCCAGAGGACCAGAAGAAATAAGACATATTTTATTCACAGGAACAAAGACAAAGATGACAGTAAATCTCTTTATCAATAAAAGCCATAAACAATGGAGCAGCCTCCCAATGTACAGAAATAAAAGGCAATCTAGAATTCTTTAGCAGCCAAAAATTCTTTTAAAAACAAAAGCAAAATAGAGACATGTTTAGATATACAAGAGCTGCTAGAATTCATTATCAGCAGATCTGTACTAAAAGAAATATTAAAAGGAAATCCTTCAAGGAAAAAAATCCAGGTTAAAATATAGATCTACACAAAGGAATGAAGAATAATGGATTGCAACTGTGTAGGTAAATATTCTTTCCTCATTATTTTATTTTTAATATTTTAATGTTTATTTAGCTGAGAGAGAAAGAGAGAGTGTGGGCAGGGGAGAGGCAGAGAGAGAGGGAGACACAGAATCCAAAGCAGTCTCCAGACTCTGAGCTAACAACACAGAGCCCAACACAGGGATCGAATTCATGAACCACAAGATCATGACCTGAGCCGAAATCGGATGATTAACCAACGGAGCCACCCAGGCACCCTCCTCAGTATTTAATCTTTTAAAATTATAGTCGACTGCTTAAGGCAAAAAATAATAATGTAAAAGCCTCAATAGTGCAGAGGCTTGAAAGAGGAAGTAGGACTACTTTTTAAAGTTCTTGCAAACAGAGTATGAAATGTCACAAGGAAACTGTGATAAGTTAAAGATGTGTGATATAAACCTTAAAGCAGCCTCCTAAATAAAATAGCAAAGAGTCACATATAATAAGCCAAATAGAGATGTAATGTTTTAAAAACTAGTTTAAAAGAAGATGAAAAAGGGGAAAAGTAGAAAACAAATAGTGAAGGCTTAAAAGCCATCTAGAGGACACCTGGGTAGCTCAGTCGATTAAGCATTTGACTTCAGCTCAGGTCATAATCTCATGGTTTGCGGGTTCAAGTCCCTCGTCAGGCTCTGTGCTGACAGCTAGCTCAGAGCCTGGACGCTGTCTTTGGATTCTGTGACTCCCTCTCTCTCTGACCCTCCCCTGCTCACGTTGTCTCTATCTCTCTCTCAGAAATAAAGCATTAAAAAAAATTTTTTTAATAAAATAGGGGGGCCTGGGTGGCTTAGTCGGTTAAGTGTCCGACTTTCGCTTAGGTCATGATCTCGCGTTTCGTGGGTTCGAGCCCCGCGTCGGGCTCTGTGCTGACTGCCCGCTCAGAGCCTGGAGCCTGTTTCAGATCTGTGACTCCCTCTCTCTCTGACCCTCCCCTGCTCACGCTGTCTCTCTCTCTCTCTCTCCTAGAAATAAAAAAAAATTAAAAAATATTTTTTAAATAAAAAAATATTTTTTTAATAAAATAAAAGCCATATAGAGTAAATGTAAATATTCTGAATACCTCCAATGAAAAGGCAGAGATTATCAGATTGGATAAAAAGCAAGACTCAACTATATGCTGCCCTATGAGAAATCCACTTTAAATGCAAAACCACAAATAGAATAAAAGTTAAAAGTTGGAACATGATAAGGAAGGGCAAGATGGCGGAGAAGTAAGGAGCTCCGTACTTGCACTCGCGCCCATACATCACACAGAAAAGATCTGAAGCCATTGGAAACCTTACAAAACCTGAGAGACTGGGAGAAAAGGACGCAGAATCCACTGAGAGAGACTTCTAATGTGAGTGCGAACCGGGGAAGATAAAATCGGGCCGGGATCGGAGACTCCAGGGTGGGAGGCGATCCCCTTCTACCCTCTACGGGGAGTGAGAGGGGGAAAAAGAGAGAGTCCAAAACAGAAAAACCTCTGCTCGGAGGGAAAAACCTCCGCTCAGGGCTTAGAAAGACCGTATTTGCAAAATACCTGCACGCCAGGTCCCCTCGCGCCAACTGGTCCCGGGGGGGCTGAACACACAGACTGCTTCTTTGTG